CATTTGGATGATTTATATCACTGACAAGCTGACCCAAATCTTGATGGTGCTAGACAGGGCTAAGGCCATAGTGAGGGGAATGTTGTGGTCAGTTTGGGGATTGTGAACAAAGAAGCAGGTCACAGAAATGCAAGACGAGAGGGGAATCTGGAATCCAGGTGTTGGAATTGATAACAAGAAGCAGGCAAACAAGGCGTAGGTATACAGGGGAACAGAGGCGGGAGGCAGATCCATGGTCTGGGCTTTGGTCAAAGACGACTTTACAGAACTATCCAGAAAGGAGTAGAAGCAAACAGACTTGGTTTTGAGAAAGAAAATTAGGTCAATAGCCAGAGATCAGCATCCAGCAGGAGTTTCTGATAGACAGGCAGGAAAGAAACAGCTTCATGTCAAGATCAGGAGGTAAAAACAAGGATTACTGGAAGGTCTACCCACACAAACAGGTTTCAACAATCTGGCAGTTACCCACTCAGAGAGCCAGGAACATATACGGTGATCCTTCCAGGTGCAGCAACTCCTTGTAATTCGAGTTGCCGCAGGTGTAATTGCTCAGACTGGATTGCTACTTAAAGAGGCAGTAGGGGATAGGATCGTGGTACTGCACACACCAGCTTCTCAGACAAGAACACACAGGAGTTATTACAGAAAATGTGTATTCTTCTTATCAATAATGGTATTAACTGTGAACTAATTACTTATTAGTAAATTTTTTAAGTCAGTTTGTTGCTGTCGGTATTATTTTGGGGTTTTAATCGTTCCAACATTGCTGTGCACCAGTTCACAAAGCAAGGTCTATGAAGACATGAATGGTGGACCCTGGTGTAGATGAACTAGAATGTCATTCCAAAAAGATGAATTAAAGCTAAGATTGGGAGCCATGCCTCACAAACGCACTTCTGAAAAATTAATTTTAAAAAGGCCAATAAACACACTCCTAAACCTTGTGGATAGCCTTCACAAAAGATCTTAAGCTTTTCTAGCTGAAAAGGGTGGACCAATGTCATGTTGAACCCCTATTGATTAGGAATGGGATGCCACTTATGTATGACATGTGTTTTCATGTATATGTTTTCTTTTTTAGTTCTGGCAGATTTTTACAGACAGTCAATTTGTTGTGTACAAAATCCAAAATTATCTTATAGATGTTTCTAGTTCTTAGAAGGTGAATAGACCCTGGATGCAATTAAATGCCTGAGATCAAAAATGTCCATGTACTACTCAAAACAGTGATGAGTAACTTAATCCGCCATGGTTGGATTGTCCATTCTTAATTTCCCCAGCATCTTTAAAGGAATTGCCGATTTTGACAAATTAGAAACATTAGGAATGTTTGAACAAATGAGGAACTGTCTGCCACAGTTTTTGCTCATTTGTTTACTGCAAAGATAAACACAGATAAAAGTATGAATAATCAATTAAAACGGGAAGCTTTGGATAAAACTGCATGAATATGGTAAAGAAAAAAAGGTGATCAAGGATCAGGTATGAAGTTCTTCAGTGCTAAAGTTCTCTTCTGAAGCAGCAATACCTCATTTCTAGCCAAGTAGGCTGAAAGGCGCCTCTATTTCCTCTGCAAATTTTGAAGAGGTGAAGCCATTATCACAAAATATTAAACAAGCCCTTTTAAATGTAGAGAAAACAGTGCTGTAGTCACTGTCACTTGTGCTTGCTGTCAATCAAAATGCAAAACAGTAACCAAACTGTGCATCATGCTGTTAAACCAGAACAGGTAAAGGTTTTAATGTAATAGAATTTAAACTACATCTAAGAAAAGAATATGCAGGAATGTTTTATAAGTGGCAGAGTCCAGTGAAAGGAATCTCTCGGATTGCCTTTTTTTTAAGCTTTCAGATTTTTTTTTTTTTTAATGCACAATAAGCCTTGGATATCCGCGTCCCTCGCAAGCATCCTTGTTGTTCCACATCCGTTTATTTGAAGCTAAAAGAGGATCTCTATTTTACTTGATCTGTTTTCTGTTCTTGTGAGCTCCCACCATCGGTAAAGTTATTTTTATTGAATATTTTTTTTTTTTTATTATGCTTATCTTAGTCTGCCCCTTCTTGATATATATGTAGTACGTTTTTCCAAATGGGGCGTTCCTGACTGGATTATCTTTTAGAGATTTTACTTTGTATTTTCCCTAAACTGATAGTATTTTAATTTGTCAACATGTGTCTATTTCTCTCAGGCTCACAACATAGCGAATTACTTGCAGTGTGGGTTCAACCAACACTGACAAGGGGCCTACTTTAGTCAGGGCTACACCAGCACAGTTGCAGAGAATGTTGTATCGTCTGACCAGCTGCATGCACTTTCACTGAGTTCTAAGAGTCACAACCTCATACTGTAAAAAACAATTTCTGGTATGACCCGAGGCTAAATTGTGTTTGGTTCATCCCTTTACAGTGCAGAGCATCATGGCCAGCTTCATCACAGTGTGATATGGTATTGCATCCTGCAAGCCAGAGCAGACTGAGACAATCATTGGTGTCCCTCTTCCCAACCTCTATGACATCTACAAACCATCTTACCTGCAGAGCACCCTGCTTTGCAGAGGACCCTATTTGTCCCTGTCATGATGCCTCTTTAGCCCGCTGCCATTATAAAGGAGATTGGGAAGTTCTTGCTACAGAACCAACAGACTTAAGGGTGAGTATTAGGGTGCTCAGCACTCTCCCTGTCTTTTCAAGTTTGTCTCACCCAACCCCCTTTGCCATGCCTTCTCCACCTTACTCAGCACTACCTAACTGTTTTTTCATTCCCTCCCCTCACTTCCCTCCTCCCCAAATCTCCCCCACATCTTAGCAACTCTTAATGAAATGATCAGAGAGTTACCTTTATTGTTTTGCAAAGAGCTTTTAAATTAGTATTTTGCACATTAATGGTGAATTGAGAATAGACTTATTGAATATCTTAAGGTGTGTTTATACTGAACACAATTTTTTTCCTTCCCAACAAATTATTTACCCCTAACCATTTGTAGAGGGTGGCTCAAGCAAGGTGAGGTGAGGCAGAGCAAGGCGAAGCCTGCGATTCTAGCAAGGTAAATTGTGTGCTTTTGGTAAATACAGAGAAGACCTTTTTTAAATCAGAATGGAAGATAGAGAAGATTATGCTGACAAACGATAAAGTATGGAATATTCTTAAGAGGTTTGTAGGTGTTTTTTTTTTTTAAAGTTGTTTTTATTTATCCATAGAGGGACTGTTTGTTGTCCTCCCTTATCTCCAGCACAGACATTGTCCAGTAACAGCCCCCATCTCCCGGTTTTTGCCTTTTTGCCCTGCAAACTTTTCAAATATACAGCTGACGTCCTTGCTAGTCTTCAAAGCTAGCCAGCCATTGCATTTCCCTTGCCCTGGCGCTCAGTCTGTGTGGCTGCTTCTCAGATCAATTCAATTCAGTTTATTTATATAGCGCAAAATTCACAACACATGTCATCT